CCCCCCAAGGAGACCCATTTGAATAAATGGTGGTAGCAGGCAATTGCTCGATTCTTATTTGGTTAAGAAATGTCCCTCTCATGTTTTTGCAGTGATGTCATTGCGCTGAATACTGCTTCAGACATGGAAAACTTACAATGCTGGAAAAGCTGGCTCGCTATGCTTTAATGTGTTGTTTCTGCTTTAACATCTGTTTTCAGTAAGGGTCTGCTTTAAAAAGCTTCTTGGTTTTGGGTACTAGCAAAAAGTGCTTTTTTCTTATTCCAGGTACTTGGAAAAGGTGAAGAGTGGAAAGGTGGTGAGCTGCCTAACTCTATTGGTGGAGGGCAGAAAGTTCGACTGCTGAAAGAAGGCATAGAAAGCTATGCTGATCAAGAGGACTTGGTTGTAATGTTTGTTGAATGGTGAGCAAACCTGGCTTGTTGCCTTTACATTTTAGTCTGGGTAGGCATGCAAAAGTAGCTGCTGTGACATGCTGAAAGTTGCATGCTGCTTTTCCCCCTCACTGTTAATTTGAGAGAGTTCGCCTACATTTTTCTTCATTCATAGAAATAGTAGATTGCTCTTGGAGCAATCGTTACTTTCTTAACAGATTTACAGATGTAAAAGTTGTTCATAATTCTGTGGCCTTGAGGGGGTAGAAAATGTTATTGGGAGCTGACAGACTTTTAGGCAAGTGTTTGTCTTCTTGTTTGGTTGCAGTGAGGGCAGGACGTGACTGCGGGCTGGGAGGGTGGAATCGGGGGGAGCAAAAGCAGCTCCAGAAATAAAGTGGCCAGTAGGGACCAGAGCGTGATCTTGTTCCATAAAGTAACACTGATACGGAGGAAGCTGGAAAATGGGCCCCTGAGGGAAGGACTTAACAGGAAAACTTATTTTACATGTTAGAGAACTGAAACAAGAGACTTGGTGCCAGATACACCCCTAGTGCCTGTGGTGTCTGTGCGATGGAAGGATGGAGGGACAGTGCTGCTGCAGGTGCCAGATTACAGCTCATAGCACAGCTATGCTAGAACATCCTTACTGGAGGCCAGATAGGTTTCTCCCTGTCACAGAGAACAGGGAGCTCAAACATGCTAAATTCCCACTTTTTCGATTGCTTCCTTCTGCTTTTTTCCCCCCTCCTTCTGATCTTTTGCTCCCATGACCAAGAGCATGATCAGAGCAGCTAAGAATCCAGCTCTCAGCAGCTGCCAAGCTCTTCCACGCTAGCATTAAGCAGAGCAGGCTCATGGTTCTAAACGAATCCCTGCAAGGAAGGTACGGGACCAAGTCCCACATTGGGAACATGAAGCCTCAGTTGCAGACAGGCAGCCTTGGGGAGGTTGCTGAGTGCAAGCTTGGAGAGATTTGTGCATGGGCTCATGCTGCTGTTACTGAGTCATGTTGGAATGACTGCTCCAGAATTTTCTTTCATCTTTTAACCTGATATTAAAATTTATTTATTTTTTAAAAATTTGATAGCTGAAGAATTTTAGGGACCCTTTTGCAAGTTAGAGATTCGGCAGCATTTGTAGAGCAGACATCACAAGGGAGAAAGTGGTCTGACAGTGGTATTTTCTGGGAAGTTCCTTTGCTGTTATGCAGAAGTTAAGAGTTTAGGAAAGTTGGAGTAGCCTGCTAAACTGGTAACAAATTTAAAGATGCTACTCAGTTTTCTTTTTTAATTTTACCTCTTGTGATAAGTAGAAGATAGAGCTAGAAAGCCAATGTCTAAATCATCTTAATCAATTTATGAACAAGCTCTATAAGGGAAACTTACTATATGGAATATGTTCTTTTTACATTTAATTGACAGTAAAAGTAACAGAGTTTGGAGGTACGCATTCAGTTTTTCAGTTTTTGAATTTTTTTCTCAAGTTGATCATTTTTGCATTTGATAAGTGGAAGAAGTATCATTCTGTAAGTAAACACATTTTTGTTCATAGTGTTGTTCTACTGATCGTGCAATAACTGAAACTTTTCAAGATTAATTTGGGAGATTATTTTGTTCTTTACTAAACACTCAGATGAATCAAATATTTCCCAGATACTTGCTACTTATGTTGAATTTCTTTGTTTGCCAATTTGTTATCCTCATTCATCACTTTCCCCCTATATGGTAAAATATGCAAATTTGTTATCAGATTTGGGTATAGCTCAATTTCTTCTGCAACATAATTTATTCTCTTGAGGGGCAGGCTGTCTGCTGGCTTGGATGAGAGGGTACAGAGGACCATGTATTTTGAAGTGGAGATGTGATAATCTATCTTGCCATGAAAAATCACAAGATTTAAGGCCTCCCAATTTCTTGAGGTCCATAATCCCAAGTACATATTGATTTAGAGCTGGTGGGACTGATTCCAAATAGGAGAAAAAAATAGTTTGCTGATTCTAGCATTATGTTTTCATTCTAATGAGCTTTTTCATTACCAGGAATCCTGGTTTGCAATTTAATTGTTAATCAATGTAGCAGTAAGTTTGGAATAGACAAATATAGTGAACTTCCTTTCTTTTTCAAGTGTTTTTCATTATATTAATTGTGAAGCATTTAGAATATTAATCTGGGGAGGGGAATGTCTGGTTTACTTGCTGTAACTAGGAAAATAATTTCTAGTGAACTGTTTACTTAAATTTAGCTTCTTAGCTTTTTTTGGGTTTTTTTGTTGAGCAGTTTTTCTGTATGGCTTGCAATTCTGGAAATAGTTTGAACTTCTGTGGAGAGCTTGTGTTTAGGTGCAGATAGCAAAATGCTTTGCCTGCAGATGGAACACTATTTAAATTAGGCTTGTTTTTGCGAGAGCTAACCTCTGTTTTACTTTGGGCCATTCCAGATTGAACTGGCTAATGGTCAGCGTAGGCTGGATAAAATGGTTGATGCTGTGATTGTTCATCCAGAACTCCCACAGCCATCTATTTGTATCATGGAAGACTTTTGAAGTCTCTCAGGTTTTTGTTGGGTTTTGTGTTTGTTGTTTTTTTAAATATTTGTCAGAAAGTGAGGGATAATTACATTTTCTACATATCTCAAAATGGTTAAAGTGTAATCCCGGTGGGGATACAGTGTAAATGACAAAATGGCTGTGTGGCAGAACAGTCCCAGAAATACGGGACCTGAATTGCTGGTTCCTAGTAAGACCTCTCTTGTTTGTATTTTGAGTTCTAAACCTGCAGCTCTGATAGTAACGTGTCCTTGTTGTTATAAAAGTTGTGGATGCAAAAGTTGCATGTTCAATTCTAGAGGAGCTGAGCCACCGTCGCCATTTCCCTGTGTTGCTGGGAGCACTGGATGTGTAGCCAGGGTGCTTTGCTGCTGCAAAAGAGGAAAAGGGATGGGTGGATTCCAGCCCCAAGCATCCTGCCATCTGGGAGCTTCAGGAAATGGGATTGGAGTTGTGGAAACTTTCTGTTTTGTTTTGGTTTTGTTTTTTTTTTTTTTTTTTTCTTTCTTCTTGCTTTCTACTTAATTGGAAGGATTTATGAAGAATAAATAAAAAGAATACCTGAGCTTTTCCACCTTGCCAAGGCAACCTGCTTTTTCCTGGATGTATCCAGACTTTTTCTCCCCTGTCAAATTTTGAAGTCCTGTTTAAAGTAAGTTGTGTGCATCACCCATAGTAACAGTGTAAACTGCGAAGGATAGTCCTGGGACCTATTTTGTGATGGTCTTAGTGGTGTAGACCTGAGGTGAATCCTCTCTTACAGTAGGAAGTGAGTGCTAAATAGACTGAACATAATCTGACATAGCAGATAAGCAAGGCAAATGATAGATTTATAGCTTTTATTTTGACTCTAGAAGTTTACCTGTTGGCTGGATAGAAAAGCAGAAGCCTCATAAAACAGCTGATGAGGAGACTGGCAGTGAGGGGTGCAAGGCTGGCACAGGTCTGGGAAGAGGTATGGTGGCAGTAAGTCACCTCTTGACAGAACAGAGGGAGATAAAAACTAGTGGAAAATGTAGGTCCATGCTGGATTCATACTCCTGCATAATATCCATTAGTGTGTAAAGTTTACAATAATTGGTAATGCAGTTTAGCAGCTCTGTACTCTGCTTTGTATTATAAACTGTGCTGTATTAAGTAGCATATCCCTTTCACAAGCAGAGCATGCGGCTAGCCCAGCATGTTGCTCAACTTCGGCTTTCTTTTCCAGAATGACAGTCCTTGGAAGCAATGTTCCAGGGGTGTTTGGTTCCTTCCCGCAGCTGTAAGTCATTGCAGCAGCAGCACTAACCTGATCAAAGAGGAGAAGCACAGCCTGCCATAAGCTATTAAGTTAAAGCCTCAGACAAATCTCTGTTTTTGTCTGTCTTCAACTTGTCTCCTGTTTCTTGCTTGTTCTTCAGGCTCATTCTGGCTTTGAATTGAGCTATACCAATTGGATGGAAAAGGGAAGGAAGTGTACTCCTGTATATTTGGGCAGAAACAGGCAGTTTTTGCAAAACTGGGGGAGCTCCAAAATGTACAATATTTTTTTCATACATTCTTCTGCCAAAGTTACAGAAAAACAAAACAGTGAGGGTTTTTGGAAACCCACTTACTTTATATAGACTATATAACAGACTTCCTCTCCAGGGTTCATACTTTGCTCTGTGGTGGAAATCTTCAGCTCTTGTTCAGTTCTCTTAGGCCAATTGCATGAAATCCTCTTTGAAGAAAGGACGTTTAAAATAATTTCAGAACCATAATGGAGCATTACGAGAAGTCAGTAATGATTATCTGTTGGCACTATTGCAATGCAACAAGTTCTGTGTACTGCAGGTGGGGGAACTGCTGTTACCTTCTTCTTAGCCCAGCTAGAGGGCTTTGCAAGAACAAAATCTTGGTCAAGGTTAGACTTTTTTATTGTTGGTAGCTGTACTCTTCCTTTTCCCTGTATCAGGGCTTATTTTCAGTTACTAAGGTACATGTGTGAAATAATAATATACCTGCATTCAGCTGAGGAAGCTGTGAGGGTGAGAAGCTGCCATTAAATTGAAATTTTATGCTTCTTCAGCCAGAGACTAATCTGTGATATGATTCCAATATTACCATGCCATGGTTTCATGACGTGTAAAATGAACCCTGAAGTGGCTTGCACTTTAGTGCTTTTATGTGTAGATTTCAAGTGCAAACAAAGGAACCTTATATGCTGAATAATTTAATTGTTTATATGGATTTCAAGTTTGTTTTTTTTTTTTTTTTAAATGCATGAATTTAGATACGGTTCAACAACAAGAAACCACTAGGCTTGTGATACCACATTTTTACAAGACCTTTGCCAAATGCATGCATGTTCTGGGGTAGTGCTGACCTTCAGCTTTGGGAACTGCGGTTTTTAGAGATGAGCCCTCCACCTTTAGGTCTTTGTCCTCGATAGGCATTGGGGGTCAGATCTGATGAACACATAAAGGCAGGTGAAGGTTTCATAAATAGATATTGTGAACTTTAGAGCCTTCTGAACTCTTCAGCACATTAAAGAGGTTGAAGGAGAAATCTATATATTCTCAGGATGCAACACAGTTTAAGTTTATGGGCAACTGAGATTGAGAAATTTATTGAGAAATATTAAGTACATTTTTGATAAGACTTTCCAGAAGAAAGTCAGTGCTGTTGCGTTTCAGAACAAAATCATCTAGAGGTTCCCAGTGAATATCACCTAAATCATCTTTCAGTCCTACTCTGTTTCATCTGCTAAGTTTTGATTTTTGTTGTTGTTCTTAAACACATAAACAGTTTTCTAAAGTGAAAAATACATGAAATGTGAAAATCAAATTCAGGTAGACAAAATCTGAAGGAAAAAGAATGTCCAAAACGTGGAAGGTTTAAAAAAAATGCATGTAAGTGGAAGGGGAAACTGTATTGGATAAATAGTATTGATTGAAGTTTTTCTCCTAGAAGGGTACAGGATTTTTACATGGTTGTGAAACATGATTTAATGATTCATTTTTCAGAATAAAAGGACTGTCTGTATGATTTTTAAAATAGACCAACCACTTGTTATTTTGAACACAGAAGCATTAAAATTAAACTGATCTAATGGATACTGTTCTTTATTTTCAGCTATGATGTTATCTTTGCGGGAGGCCCTGAAGAACTGCTAAAGAAATTTCAGGAAACTAATCATAAAGTGGTGTTTGCAGCAGATGGACTAATTTGGCCAGATAAAAGGCTAGCTGACAAGTATCCTGTTGTCCGGAGTGGAAAACGATTCCTGAACTCAGGAGGCAAGTGTGCTTCTTGAACACGGTAAACTCTTGAACTTGAACATGACTCACTTCTGTTATCTGTTTTATGTAGTTGTATGTGGAACTGTTCCTGAATTCCCCAAGTATAAAATCGAGGACTGGGTTGGCTGTTCTCCTCTTCCCCTCTCCCTCCCCATTTGAATGGCTCCTCTTCTGTGCTCAGGAATAGTTTTCATTCAAACTTACATAGTATTTGTTGGCAATAACTTGTAAAAAGCAGGTAAATAAAGTAACAGCCTAGCAAGCAACTGTGCCTTGCAGTGAAATGCTGTGCAGGGATGACCCAGTTGCCACCGATTGAATCTACTTTAGAAACAATCTAGTGTACAAGCCTAGTCAAAGCAGTACATACTTTTTATAGGCACAGTTTAGCTGGGTCACAGAATTTCCTGACTTGGCTACCTTGTTCTTGGGGATCTCTGCATACGATGTAGATGTGCTGGTAGCTCTGCCTGGCCTGTCAGAATAGCTTAGGCAGTTCGCTCCAAGAGAAGTGCCAGTTACTCCTGGACATGGTGCTGGGCAGCGTGTAGATCTGGGAGTGTTGCTGTTCCTTTCCCTCCCTTCTTTACCTCACCTATGTGCCCTATCTTTTTTTTTTTTATTTCGGCTTAACATAACGTATATTGGTTTTGAGTTGAATTCTCTCTATAGTTCTGGCAGTATTAGATTCAGGCTTCTCTGCCAGCAAGAAGTGATTGATGAAAATGAAATGTTTTCTGCAGATGGGCTTCTTGGGAACAGTAGTAGTCTAATCTCATGCTTTGGAGTTCTCAGGACCATCCTAAACAGATTTCTCTTTTCTATTTTTTCCCTTAATATAGTGTTAGTATAAAAGTAACCCTTAATTATGAACTCTTTAAAACAAACCTGGTACATGTCACAGGAAGAAAACTGGATTTTGAGCCAAGTTGTATGAATTTCATACTTTTCCTTTGCTGGCACCAAACAGTCAGAATGAAGTCCCTGACTGGTGGACAGCATTGGCAGAGGATGCTTTTTATGGAAATAACTTTTGTGTGTGTGATATTGCAGGATTTATTGGTTATGCTTCATATATAAATCGTATTGTGCAGCAATGGAATCTGCAGGATAATGATGATGACCAGCTGTTTTACACCAAAATCTATGTTGACCCATTGGCAAGGGTAGGTAGTAACTGGCTTTCTCATTTCTTTCTGCTTGAAATAACATGCTGCTCCTCATAAAACATCAGGAGATAAAAATAAAAGGAATGTTGTCTCTTTATTCCGGAGTGCCATGTTGACTGTTGTGTTTGTTCTCTGGAGGTTCCTACTGTTGGAGTGATGAACAGGCTTCCAAAGGGTCATGACTTGATATATTATTTCAGGCTGTCTGTAGATCCAGACAGGTTGTGCTTCATTGTTAGAAATAATAGCTCTGAGGTATATGATTGGACACATTCATCTCAGTGAGGGCTCCATGTATTTGGCACTTTGACGTCTGGAGAATGTGGCATTTTTCCAGGGTGTCACTGAACTATTTGCTGATCCAGTGTTTTATATTTTGGCTTGCTGCCATTTCAGGTCCTGCCTGCAGATGCCTCTCCCTCTTAGCTTTTTGTTCAGATACATTCAGTAAAGCTGCATCGTAAATTTTTGGTGAAGACCTCTGTGGCCTAGCTTAACAAAGTTCTCAGCTGAGTAGCAGCGTTAAAGCATGATAGATGTCAGAAGCATGGCCCTGATGCTGGAAAAAGAGGCCTAAGGAAAGTTAACAATATATTGATGCAAAAAGACTCAGAAGCTGATATTTCAGAATTTTGAGGTTGATTTTGAGCATTTATATGCTTAAGGCAGATGTGAAGTTTCTGAAATACACGTGTTTTTCCATTAAGTTATGCTTGAAACACCAGGCATGTTTAGATATAGATACAGAAATAGAACAGAATAGAATATTTCAGTTGGAAGGGACCTACAGTGATCATCTAGTCCAACTGCCTGACCAATACAGGGCTGACCAAAACTTGTCTAAATGCCTCTTAAATACTTGACAGGCTTGGGGCATTGACCACCTCTCTAGGAAGCCTGTTCCAGTGTCTGACCACACTGTCAGTAAAGAAATGCTTCCTAATGTCCAGTCTAAATCTCTCGTGGCACAGCTTTGAACCATTCCCACTCATCCTATCACTGGATCCCAGGGAGAAGAGATCAGCACCTCCCTCCCAACTTCCCCTCCTCAGGAAGCAGCAGAGAGCAATGAGGTGGCCCCTCAGCCTTTGCTCCAAACTAGACAGACCCAAAGTCCTTAGCTGCTCCTCATTGGACGCTCCTTCCAGCCCTTAATGTTTGAATTGCTCTTATGCAAGTTGTCAGATGCTAGATATGCAATTGAAAGGACAGGTTGTAGAGACATTTTAGAGCTGACTCTGCATCAAAGTCAGAAATTATATAATTGTCTGTCTAACTGGATTGCCTTCTAGACAAAAACTGTGTACCTCTGCACAGTGCACTGCGATTCAGAACGCCTCCATGGTGCTTAGTTTGGGATACTGTACTATACATTAGCACTAATTTTCTGTATGGTGACGTCCAATGCTGTAGAATATGTAACAAAATCTTGGAAGACCAAAACAGAGTATGTTATCTGTATAAAGGTTTTAAAATGTGTTTTAAAGGTTATATACATTGATCAACATGTTAAAACTTCAAAACAAGGTACTTTAAATAAGAATCTAAGTAGGATTAATAATAGAATATTAGAACCATATTTAAAAAACAGTGGTGTGTTTTGGTTTTTTTTTTTTTTTATTTCTATCATGATACTTAGATTCAGGTCTTGTATTTTTGAGACTGTGAAAAAGAATGTTTTGTGGCTTGGCAAAGACATACTAATTTTTTTTTTAAGATAAGACACAAATTTTATTTGGCTTATACTGCCAAACTGGAATTTCTTTGGAGAGTTGTGACCTTTATCCTGCAAGTTTAGATATAAAGTTTTTGCATATATAAAACTAATTGCTATACAGCTGCACAACTCAGGAATATAGAAAACTTAACAGTGTAAGATTATGAATTATATCATAAGAGCTGAATATGTAGATAGTTTTGTCTGATTACTTGCTGTCACTGCAGGATAACTGTAACAATACCATAAAAGCATTCGCTTTTAGAATGCCTCAACAACTTTGCTACTTTTATTTAGGAACGCATTAACATTACTTTGGACCACAAATGCACAATTTTCCAGACCCTAAATGGAGCTGTTGGTGAGTGTTTGATTTGCATGTTTTGTGTTTTGTTAACTATTATTAACACTTTCTTTGCTTAACTATGAATATCATTCCCTAAACATATGCTTGTTTTAAAGAAATATTTGGATGAGTAAAGCTGATTACCAGATTAGTTATGGGTCTTTTGGCTTTAATATTAATTGACTTCTCCCATTGATAAAATTGATTTAAAATAGAAAAACTAGTTCTCAATAAATGAAGTTAGCAATAAATACAAAGTTAAGAACAATTTTTCCATCTGCCTTACACAAATTTAAATACAGGAGTAAGATTGATAATTAAAATTGAATTTTAGATGTTGTTAAAGAAATGGCTGTACATAATGAAATGGAATATGGAATAATGTGGAATTTCCTTTATTTCATTGTCATCAATTTAAATTGAAAAATGGTATCAATGGAACAACTTTTTACAGTCAGATCATACCTGAAATAACTATGATTTCTCTATAAATAGCATTTGCACAAAATCAGTTTTATTTTTAAAACAGATTCTATTCAAACACTGAAGGCTGCTGATGGCAAATGCTGAAGTCTGATGTAACCTTATTTAGCATAAAGAGCTTAGAAGTCAAGATCTAGTTAAAAAAAAATGAACAAAAGCTTCCAAATAAGTAACATTGACAATGATAGCAAGAGCAGGGTATATTATATCAGCAAGAACTTAAAGAACTCTGAACTGTAGCTTTTATTTACAAACTGTTATCACTGTACGGATGTTTTGATTTTCAGATGAAGTCCTTTTGAAATTTGAAGAAGGAAAAGTAAGAGCTAGGAATTCAGTGTATGACACATTACCGATCACCATTCATGGAAATGGTCCAACTAAAGTGAGTGATTTTGTTTTCATTTTTGTGCAAAGATGGCAATTTTTATAGAGGTAAAACCAATGGTGCAAGAGTCTGAAACAGTCATAGCTCACCACCACTGCTCATTTCCAATTAATGTTAATAAGAATTGTAAGGATAAAAACCCCATTCTAATAGCTCTCTCCATCACATTATTCTGCTATCACTGCAACTTGATATTGCCGCTGAAACAACTCATTCTGCTCCCAAATTCATTGTAGCATGGGATACCAGAAGTGAGTAAGCTTATGCTAATTTGTTCACTGTCACAAAACAATTCTTGAAGCTAGTGAAGAATGTCAATCTGGTTATTAAATGGTAATAAGAAGAATAGGTTTTCAGGGAGAGAAAAATCTAACCAAGAGTCACAGGCTGGACTACAAAACAGTAACACATCTGATCCTACCGCAGACCTTGGTGTGTGTTTGTAAACACATATAGTTGTATTGTGTAGAGGCAAAAATGTGTGTGTGTGTGTATACACACACATAGGGCTGGCTTTTGTTGATGCGTCTTCAGCGTCATTGATCACTGCCTGCAATGTACCCGTGGCTCGTGAGCTTTGGGTTCATGGTAGAGCACTGTCTGCCCTGTGAAATAGCTGTTTTGGCAGCATCTGTCCATGTGTGGTCCAGAGGACCTGGCATAATTTCTCTGGGAGAAATGGCTACGTTTCAGTCATATGGCAGTTGCATTTTTTTCTTACATGGCAAAGAAGCGTAAAGGTGTGTCATTTCTAGTAGGTTCTGTTGGCTGAATGATTTGGCACACCTACTTTCTAAGTTCTTCTGAATACATGTTCCTTACTGTAGCTCCTTATTTTCAGAAAAATACCTCCCAGGAGAATGAAATAAAGCTTGAAACTCAATATCCTAATGACTGCTGCTTCTTAGTTTTTGCACTGTATTTCATCTTTGGAATTAGTGAATATAACAAAGCCACTATCTGTTTGGCATATAAATACTCGGTAGTGGTGAAATATGTGACCAATTCCTTCCATGTTGCGACAGTTATTTTTGCCTCAGTTAAATCCTCAAGTTATCTATCATCACTGGCTTTGCTGGCATTTTGCCAATGAAAAGAAAGGTACTGTATTTTACAGTTGGGCAAGCAGTTTTAGGTTGGAATTCCTTATGCTAATCCACAAATAATGCTATATTAAACAAAACTCAATCTCTGCATGTAGTGATGTAGTTTTAAAAACAAAGAGGGAACTTTTGCTGTATATCACTTTGCCAATGTGATTAGATTCTTCTGGTTTAAACACAGAATAGAAGAGGACAATAATCTAGTGGGATTGGAAAAAGATTTCACTAGTTAGTAAATAAACTATCATGAAAGTAATTCCCAGAATTAGCTCCAAAAAGTCAAAGCTTTTGTTTATAAGAACATTCTGTTTTGTATTCCGTCTCTTCAATTTGCAGATTAGTAAATAGCATCAGAGACACTTCTTTGAAACAGATACTAAATCCTTCTGACATCCTAATGTAATTTTTTTCTCAAGTGCAATGGCTTTTTTGTGAAATATTAATTTTTGTAGACTTTATTGTACATATCTGAAATTAAGTTTGAGCAATTCTATTTAAAATTTATCTAAAATAATTTTCAATATGTATAAACACCCAAAATATGATAAAATGCAGATTGAGTATTGGGTTGGAGTGTGTTTTCTGTGCAAAATTATGTTTTATCCTTCCAGTTTTTGATGAGGGCAGTAGAGCAG